GTAATCTGACATCAAAGTATAATCGATGATGGATTGCAGATCCTTTCTGATTCAGAGAAGAGGGCACTTTACGACAGTTTTCTTGTAGCTCAGAGAAAGTTAGTTAAAAAAAATGGTAGCTACGGCTCAATATCATACGTATATAAATCCAATCAGGCAGCTTTCAAGCAGATGGAAGTTGTTGAATGGTTGAAGTCCTATAGATCTTTTATTAATGAGATATTATCAGAAAGGAAACCTGTTGTTGTTACGGACTATTTTGATGAACTTGAGAGGGATTTCTACTTAGCCATGCATGTTGCTTACTTTGGTCCAACCATCGAGTCTATGGAACTTCTACCTGATTGTTTTGAAGCTGAGGAGAGGTCAACTCATGAAACTTCCGAGATATTGCACTTGGTTTCAGGGCGCGATCTTTTTGGGATAGTCAGTTTTGCCGAGGAGGTGGCTAAAGTGGCTTCTGCCACCAGTGGAAAGTCTATTTCTTCAACTTCTAGGTGTCTAAACATCACTCAAGCCATTGAAAATGTTAGCAGCTGCGTGAATTTGACAAGAGAGGAAGAATTTGAACTTCCTCAGGCCTCAATGTTTTATGAATCAGATGCATACAAAGATTTAGAGTTGCATATTTGTGGAAAAGTCATTGCTAGGGCTTCTAGACTTCCTCCAAAGTTTCATGGTAAGAGCATGGAGGATAAAGACAATCAAGATCAAATACATGTTTTTCTTAGTTCCAATGATGAACCCCCCATGCATACCAGTGATGGATATTTTATAGATTTCTCTTCTGGGGATGCTGCCGGGGCAAGGATTCCCTTGGGTTCTATTTTTGGTCTAGGTACATCTGAAGAAGAAGGATCCTGCTCCGTTTACAATAAACATGGCACACAAACACATGTGATAATGAAACATCGAACATTAATGGTCTGTATAGTCTTTAAGCTACCACCGTCCTTTTATTTTCTTTACACTTGTCATCATAAATTATTGTTGCTTCTAATGTTACATTTTTCTACAGTTCATGCATTTATCTGCTTGTTTGCTATTTATGATCTTGTGTCTTATAGAAGCCAAGAATCATCAAGGTGCTTACATAGTTCCTAATGCATCGCCATGACATTAGTATATATTGACAAATTTTTAATGTTAGGATTTTTTCTGTCTTTCATGTTTTCTATTTTTTTTTTTTACACTTGTCCATTTGTCCAAGTTTTTCACCAAATGGCTAAGTGTTCAAAACACCTTGGATCACTTCTGTGGGTCTTAAATACTTGGCAAGTTCTCAGACTTACAAGTATTGTAGAATGAAATAGTAGTTCTGTTGTGGAGATGATACTCAGGAGAGATGCAAAAAAAAAAAAAAAAAAAAAAAAAAAAAAAAAAAAAAAAAAAAAAAAAAAAAAAAAAAAAAAAAAAAAAAAAAAAAAAAAAAAAAAAAAAAAAAAAAAAAAAAAAAAAAAAAAAAAAAAAAAAAAAAAAAAAAAAAAAAAAAAAAAAAAAAAAAAAAAAAAAAAAAAAAAAAAAAAAAAAAAAAAAAAACAAACAATATTTTATTCTTGCTTTTCATTTTTTGTGCTCCATGACATTCTTGACATTATATATTAAAAACAAGCTCCTCAGGTGCACGCTTAGTATTTTTTTTCCTGTTTGACTTCATTATCATTATATTTCCTACTGGGGTAGTATGCTAGGATTCATTTGTTTACATCTATATGATAATGCTGCAGTATGGATGCATTTTTGTGCATATGGTAAGATAAGTCAGCAAATCCCTTCTATGGTGAATGAAGACAGAATAGGATATAAGAGTGATTTGTCTTTCGCCATCCATTTAATTTTACACAATGGTAATGTCACAACGATGCTGTGGAAAAATATATTTTACAAAAAGGTATAAGCTGCATGACTCTTGCATGATCAACATATTGCTGTTTCAGTCGAAACTGAATGTATGCTTGATTATCCTGCGTATTTAAATGGTATATTTATGTTTTTGATACTTACATATTGATTTCTAATTTTACAGGTGAAACACATGCACTGGTACAGTACAGGAGAAAAAGTTTCTGTCTGTGAGTGTAGATGTAGTCGAGCACGTTTACCCCCAAGCAAGTGAGTTCTGCATCTCCAGAATTTTATGGATTGTTGTCCCCATATTTAGTGATGCTATTAGTTATTGATCCTGCTATCAGTGGCAGTTGGCTAATAAAAATAGCTCTTTCTTTTTACTTTATTGACATCATAGTCGTCTGATACTTTTACCTGGAAGTTTCAAACTGTAATGCAAGATTAGGACTCTTTGTGGGAAGGAGGGAGATCAAGGGCTTGTTGCCACTCACTTGGCTAATTGTGAGTGAAACACTAAAAAATAAATGCACGATTGGAAGTAGGATTGTGATCTTTCAATAAAAAGTAAATGAATTTGTAAAGGGGAAAAAGTTGTACAGGTCGATTATCATGAGCAAGAGTAAGGGTGCCTTAAACAGACAAAATGCACGGGATTTACAGTAGAAGCCCTTGTAAACTATTACTCGAGGAAATAATTTTTTGGGAAGCCTTCTCGGTTTAACTGCAAGGAACCACACCTTGGATTCTTTGATCTCTATAGTTGGACCAATTTGCATCTTCGACTCAGTGGCGTCCATAGTTTCTTATTTGGATGCATAATTCGATACTTCGATGTTTTTAGCATAGCTTCTTGGTGGGTTACTGAAAGCTTAACTACTTTTTGGAATTTTGATGAAATGGAGTGGGTGTAGATAGAAAGAATTTGGATAACTTGTGATCTTCTTTCTCCCCCACCTCCTATTTTGTTGAAAAGGGGCTGGCGAGTGCTTTTGATCGTTTAGATCTTTTTCTCTACGGTGGTCCTCAATTATGCAGATGTCTCTATCTTGTTATAGTCATTTTTTCTAATAGGAGGTTAGGGTGTTATATTTGCATGTCATGTTAAGGACCAATTCGTAGGCCAATCAGCTTATTGTTGATTAGAACGCGATAGCAACTATCCATTTTACTTATGGTACAAGGGAAGTGCATGAGCTTTGCGAGTGGAGGTTGTTAGAATCATTATGCATGTAGATGATGGCAAAAAAACTGCACTATAATAATCTTGAAATTTAAAAGATAAAGAACTACAAGATAAACCAAGTAATTTGAGGTATTTGGACCCTCTCTCTCTAGAGAGCTTACACCATGGCATTGCTGAGCTTGATGTGACATGAAGATCGGTAGAGTAGAAATGATGAACTTATAAACTTGCATTTCTCTTTCTTGATTGCTGTCCTTGTTGTTAACTTTTAAACTCTTCTATCTTATAGGTTTTGGCTATTCGAGCCCCGGTGTGGTCTGCATGACGTAGGGGGCTGGTATGTCGAAACATTTGGTAAAAATAAGAAAGGCCGAACAGTCCCATCAAAAAGGTTTTGGGATGGTTTTGATTCTCAAGAACAATGTCAAGAGTAAGTTCATACCTGAGTATACGAATAAACTTTTAATCTTAAAGCTTCTATTTACACAGAATGACTTGATAGGATAATCAAGAATTTTCATTTTTACTCTCTCATTTGAGTTTGTTTAGGATAAAAAACGTGTCGGGTTTAAAAATTTGATATTTGGCACGACTATTTCTCAACCTACCGTGAAAATTAATTGCACATTATCTCCATCTCTTCAAGCTATTGGTGTGATTACCGGATGAACCTTTTGGTCATTTGTCTTCCGATGTTCATCATTGCTGTCATCTTTTAAATCTAAAATCGTGCAAAATCTAAAATCATGCACGTCTATGTCTCGGTCGGTTCGGTTCCATGGTAGATTTGTGTTTTCTGATCTCTTATTTGAAAGCATTTGCGTTTATTCTGAATTCTGCATCACATTTCTCCTAAAACTGTGTTTCAAAATTAATATTTTGTCAATATCGTTGCAAGCCAAGTTATCTACCGTCTGTGCAGGCGGCTTCATCCAGCAATGTATCTAATTGCACTTGCATACAGAACTCTTGATATCGAAGATGCAAGGCTGAGGAAACAAAGGATCAGGGATACGATCAAGGGCCAACTTTTTAGGATCCTCAATTGGTCCAAGAAACTTATTTAGGGAGAACATTGGTCCTTTTGATGTCGAAAATGCTTCAATTATTAGGCGTGATAAATGCTACAGTAATTATTAGGCGTGATAAGTGTCTGCGAGAAGGTCAGTTCTTGCTCCTGGCCTGTTATGAATATACCAAGCACAGCTAGAGGCCTCGGTAAGAGCAATTCTTCCTCCTGATTAGCATTATAGTATAGTTGAGAAAGACATTTTGAAAGTACTTTAAATTATCTGAAAGAGCTTTTACCATATGGAAAAGACTCATCTAAATTCTAAACACTCCATTCCTTTCTCTGGAAGGACAATAGCATATCCTCCGGCTCAAAACTCCGTTTGACAACTATTTAGTTTTTAATTTTTTAAAAACTAATGTCACAAATGCTACGTTCACGCGTTGGTTCTTTTGTCGTTTTGGTCATGTACTTTTTACAAGCGTTATCAAAATCTTCCAAGCCATGTTTTGAAACCCAAAAAAATTGTCTTTAAAACTTGGTTTTGTTTTTTAACTAAGAATTCAAGATAATAGAGAGGATATGCTTTGTTTTTAACTAAGAATTCAAGATAATAGAGAGGATATGCTTTGTTTTCGAAAACTGAAAAACTAAATAGTTATCAAATTGCAGGAATAAAATCATAATTAAAATTATACAATATAAACTAGTTACATAGAGTTCTATCATTAAAAAAAGATGAATTTTGAATTCTTTTTACTTTGTTGAAGCGGGACTAAAATATAATGAATTTTTAAGTATGACAACTACATGGTTATAACATTCTTAAATATTTTAGGTTTAAGGTTTTAGGTGCATTTACTGGCGGTAAGTGAACTCCCGCCTTGTCACACTAACTTTCGACGACCGAAATGAGACGTTTATAACCTTTGTCCAATTGACGAGCTTCGAAGCACAAAATCAATTCAACTTACCCAGACGCCTCCAAAACCGGGAGTAGGAACAGTTAAAAGGAAGAGATCGGTGATTCCTTCAAAGGAAAGAAAGATGAAAGCCAAGAGCGGAAAAAGTTGTTCGAGCTTGAGATCGAAGCTAGGTTTGCCGGCAGTTATCTTCGTTTTATGCCTTTTTTGTTTCCTTGCCGGATTCTTCGGCTCTTCTCTTCTCTCTCAGGTTGATCCGCGTGCTTCAAGTTTCTAATCACCATAAGATTTCGTCACCTTAATGCTAATGTTTTAATTTTCCGACCATCTCATTGCTATCGGACGAACAAACAGGATGTAGATGACGATAGGCCGAGGCCGAGGTTGCTTCAATCGGTCAACGGTGGTAGCGATTTCGATTTGATGCCCTCGGGAGAAAACGGCGACGATTCCATTTCTTTGATTCCATTTCAGGTGCTCTCCGTTTGGTTCCATTTGACTTTTAATTCTTATTTTCCCACTGCTACGTTAGTTTCACCGTATTGTCATGTATTTATGCGAAATATTACTTAAACAACGAACGAACCTTGCAACTGATTATTCGACCTTCAGTTTCATGATTTTTTTTTTCTGTTTCAATTATTGCATGTCTAATTTAAAGTTTTCATCAACGTAGGTTTTGAGCTGGCAACCACGCGCTCTCTATTTTCCGAAGTTTGCAACTGCGGAGCAATGCCGAAACATAGTCAATATGGCGAGGCCGAGGCTTAGACCGTCTTCCTTGGCTCTACGTAAGGGAGAAACGGAAGAGAACACGAAAGGAATCCGAACAAGGTATCTTCTGTTTGCATGTATTGGCACTTATGACTTTATTAATTATCTTTTTTAGCATGAGTTATAGATATGCACGATCACTATAGTCTTTAAGGATATTTAGCACTTAATTATAGTTTACCATATATATCATATTTGATATTTTATTATAGGAAAATATGTAGATGTTTCTCTTCCATTATGGCTTACTATAGTTATCTTTCATTTATTGCTCTTTCCATATTAATTTATTTGATTATAAATAGAAAACTTTCACACCAAGTTATGGTTGATTTTAGCAAATATTCTCACAGGGATTTTGAATGTGGATGTATGTTTGCATAAAGTATTTGTGGGATTAGTATGTGTTATACTCGCATTCTATGGGAACGACATTCTGGTTTTGTATTTAATTTTCTCTTCCACTATTCTTTGAACTGCAACATTTGTTTCTTCCTGTACCTCCAATTATAACCTTCGGTCTATATATGTGATTTATGTTATGGTCTGATTTATATTATGGTCTGTGAAGATATCTTTTGAGATTTTAGGATTTCAGCATAGACATAGATACTTTCTTTTTTGGTTTTTCCTCGTCAGTTCGACTCTCTGGTCACTCTCACCCATAATTATTGTGTCTTGGAGTTCCATTTTAACGCCTAGGCGTCGGTTTAGGAGGACCCAACAGTTTTATAATTTTACATTATCCATGCAGTTGATTCATAACTAAACAAATATGTATCCTTCCATTGTGTTTTCTTTATTGTGTTTTGTAATTGGTACCGCTGCAATTTAATCCAGCAGAACTTCCGAGTTAGCCATGGGTATAGGTGAAAATAGGAAATTTCTATAACTTTATTTTGGTTTTTGGTTTCATGAATTGAAGGGAATGTCTAATTTTGTAAAGGTGCTTGATTACATTTTCAAATTGACTCTCTCTCCCTCTCTCTCTCCTTCTCTCTCTGTCCCAAGCAGTTCTGGAGTGTTCTTTAGTGCTTCAGAAGATGAAAGTGGGACGCTGGGCGCCATTGAGGAAAAAATTGCAAGGGTGACTATGCTTCCAAGGATGCATGGAGAGGTATTATGATAGTAAGGTTTACCACTTTGATCGTCTATATTTCCACCCAGCTTTTTGTAGTTAGAATTCTGTTGCTACACCGTCCATAAGAATTTAAACTTCCAAAAGTACGTTGTTATAGAATCCTAAATATATTTGATGTAAAATTTTGATAGGGAATGTCATAGATTGAACTCTGTCAGTTCCTTGGAAAAGATGAAACCTGCAAGTTACTCTGAAATTACCTTTGATGTCATTACTAACTTGCTTATAATTTCCATCTCCATGTATAGTAGTTGGCCTTCTTAAAATTTTGATGCTTGACGTGGACTCTTGACAATCCATTTTTTACGGTCGTTGATGGTATTTATGTAAATCTACTATGGGCCCCCTTTAAGTCAGATTTTGCTGGTTATGTTAAGCTGACATTAAAATTTTATCAAACCATTTGTTTCTTGTTTGAACTTTTGGAGAAATGAAAGTTTGTTATCTCAAAAGTGGATTAGTATCGAGAATATTTGCTAAAATCACCTCACATGGAGATGGTTTGTTATCTCAAAAGTGGTCTGTGAAGGTTTGTTATCTCAAAAGTGAACTATAATTCAGTACTAAATATCCTTAAGCTGAACGTCGGATTTGAACGAATGCGAAACTTGGATCTAAAAAATTCAAAGAGGGGTTGAGAAATACTTTTTGTGAAGATGTCTACAACCTGATTTGGAGGAGACGTCGAGAAACAATTTCTTGGCCATCGAAAACTGCAGAGAGATCGTCGCTCAGCGGCGATGCTGCCTTGGCTCCGGCAAGAATATGTCTAACTCACGAAGTAAAAGGGGGAAGCCCAGAGGAAGAAGGAGAATAGAGAGAGAGAGAGGGTTCGATGGTGACTATGAACAAGAGGGTGTAAACTGAGAATGCAGACTCTGGGGTGTATTTTAAATGAAGAAAGAAAGAGAGGGGCGGAGACGGAGTGATGTCTGTGCCTTGTGGACTTGGTTTGCTATTGAGCAAATGAGCACGAGTAAGAATATCTCAAGCATATTTTGCAACTGGAGTTTGCACTGGTGACTCCAAAGGAGCAGTAGGCGAAGCCGATGGAGAAGTAACCGGCGCCATAGCAGGTGGTGAAGTTCCAATGGATAGAAAGGTAGCCACGTCCCCCAGAGCAAGGGACGAAGACGATGTTGAAGTCAGAAGAGTTGCCACAGTGGGTGAAGGAGATGATTTTGGCGAGGAGGCCAGCGGTGACTTGGTTGGCGAAAAGGCCAGTGCGGCACTTAGATTTCAAGGGTAAATCTCTGCATAAGGTTGATGGACCTGTCGGGAGAATGCTGATGAGGATCTTGAGGTTAGGGTTTCTGTGAAGGATGAAAGGAAGATTGGGAAGAAAATGAAAGAGGCTATATTGGTTAAGGGGAAACCGATTATGTTGGAGAAGGTGAGGTTGTATGTACAGTGTATGAAGAATGGTGATTTGGAGGCCAAAAGTGTGGAGTTGAAGAGTAATCAATCGGCTCCGCCTGCGGCAGCCATGGAGACTGCCCCTGCGGCGTCAAAGCCAGCAGTGGTGGTGGAGAAGAAGATGAGTAAAGGATTCAGAGCCATTGAAAATAAAGGATCGGGGTTGCGAAACCAAAACGGTTCTGATACCACGAGAATATTTGCTAAAACCACCCCTCCTAAATAGTGTGAAAGCTCACTATTTATAATCAAATAAATTACAAAGATATGGAAAGAGTAATAAATAGATACCTATGATAAGCCGTAATGATATTTACCTATAATAAAAGATCAAATATGATATATATGTCTATAATTTAGTACTAAATATCCTTTAACAAGTGTTACCTTGTCATGTTTTTTAAATACCAAGATACATAACAGTAACAGGTAACCTGAAACCTGATAATTTGAAATTGTGTTCTATCCATTTGATGCCCCTGAAGCTTTATATCGATGTTTCTTTCTTTCCGTTGTTTGTAGAAATCTGTTCTATAATACTGCTTCATTTTTTAGTTAATGTACAGGTTGTATTTCCGTGTGGAGTTGTATGTTTTAATGTTTTGTTGTGTCTGTAAAAGGTATTGAACTTCTTGTTTCGCAAATATTTTTAAATGGATTGAGGGTTTTGTGTTTCAGGCATTTAATATCTTGCGTTATGAGATTGGGCAGAAGTATAATTCTCATTATGATGCGTTCAATCCTTCTGAATATGGACCACAGAAGAGCCAAAGGGTACAAAGTAGATAGATCAGCCTTTCCTTTGTTCATTGCTCGTACACATTCACAGATTTTCACAATCGTTTAGGGTTCCAAGCATAAGCTAGTGCAGGAAGTGATTGTTCTTAAATGCTGTGTCAATTCTAATGGTGATTGCCAAAAGTTTATTCTGCAGAATTCATGTTGCTAATTGCTCTTTTATTGGTTATCTTTTAATTACTTGAATAGTGAATATAATTTTAGATTCAATCTTTTTTCATGCATTTCTAGGAGTTCCTTTACACAAATATCTTGATCCCCGCCTCCCCCCTCCCTCCCTAAAAAAAAAGGAAAAAAGGAAAAAAGGAAAATAAAACAGAATGTTGCACTACTTTGCCTAACTGACATTTTAGCATCCAAACATTCAGGTGGCTTCCTTTTTGTTATACTTGACTGATGTTGAAGACGGTGGAGAAACCATGTTTCCATTTGAGGTAAGACCATAAGACCTCATGAACGATGCGGCTGTTCTCTTGACATGTTTTACATCCAGTTTATCTTCTGAACATGAGTCAAATGGAGTATTTACTATGTTTGATTGGCAGAATGGCTTGAATATGGATGGAAGATACGATTACCAAAAATGTACTGGTTTGAAAGTGAAGCCACGTCAAGGTGATGGACTTCTGTTTTATTCTGTTTTTCCAAATGGTACAATCGATCCGGTTAGTGTTCCTGTTCCTATCTCTGTTGCTTGATATGGTGATTTCAGTTTGAATGCTGTATGGATTATTGATGTGTATTGTTGACAACGAGTCAGCCTGAGGGAGCATATGCTTTGTTTGAGCATGGAGCTTCTCGATTTATGATAAACCCCCTATCATATGCTACTCACCATATAGACATTGACATGATCGTTAGGATCCCAGTCTTAAAATTGTATTACATAAAATGAAAAATACAGATTGATATAGCCTTTGGACAGGATCATCTCTATCCCAAGTTCCACAATGGACCAGTTATCTATAATAATATGCTTATCTCTAAACTCCCCAACTCCCTCTATTGATAACCTTCCCTCCTAACCAACTATCAAGGAATTTGAATTTGGCCACTGCTAATACTTTCCTAGTAACATTCTCTAACACGGATCCATCAATTCCTTTAAGATTACTAAAATGTTTGCCACTTTCTTCAGGCTGTTACAGTTTGTGACATATTTGTTCAGACTTTGATTAGATATATTGCTTTGCCATAGACAAGGAACATCAGGGATTATGAATTATGCTAAATTTTCCCAAAGCTGTTATAAGATGGTGCTCGTTAGGAAGCATGGACACTTATTATGAGCGAATGTAGAGGTGTTGGACATAGACATGTTATTTGTTTTGAATGTTTTGGTTCTGCTTCTGGTGACACATTCAGGAGATGTCGGGACTCATCTTGTTTAGGAAATACAGAAATTAAGAAAGAAAAACTATAATTTCCTTTCCCCATTAAAACTACAAATATTTGAATTTGTATCAAGTAACTATGAGTAAGTATATGGAAATTTTCTAAAACTAAACTATTAAAAAGAAAAAAAACTAAAACTTCGTCTGACCAATTCCAGTAATGTAGTTTTGGAAGTTGATAGAAGATGCTCGTTTATTTTGTTGGGGACTTATTCTATATGATGATCTGACCATAATACGTTGGGGGGCCGTAGACTAATTAATATTTGAAGTGGTAGTTACTTCAAATCTTTACATCATGCATATCGCTGCAGTTGAAAGCATGCATGTTCCTAAGGTAATAGCAATTATTTTCGAAAACATATTTTGTGGGTAATTCATTGTCTGTATGCTGTCCATGTATTTGCTTTGAGTTATTTGCTTCTTTGTCATTCGGAAGCATTATGATGTAATTTTTCAGCAAGATTAGTGGGTCAGTTTAACGTTAAATGGTGTGCTATTCTGTTTAGCATTTTGCGTTTCTTAAGAGCGCTGCTTGTCTGAGAATCTTATTTATTGGATGATTTTGTAGACATCACTCCATGGAAGCTGTCCTGTGGTCAAAGGACAGAAATGGGTCGCTACAAAGTGGATCAGAGATCAAGTACAGGACGATTAAGCGTTACTATTTACCACAGGCAATGCATAACTCGTAAATCTCGGCCTATCATTTTCTCTATTATTAGACAATGAATTTTAACATTATAAAAAAATTGATTCCCATCCTCTTCCCCCTACCAAATAAAATACTAGGCGAGTTGATGTTAAAATGTTTTTTTTTTTTTTTTCAATGTAGTCAAGTGCTTAAAGTTTTAATTTAGGATAAGAGAAAAATGTCTAAATATTAAGCCAAAGTAAATCCCCAACCTAATAACAGTCTGGAAATATGAATACTTTATTGAATAGATTTAATAATTATTGATTGGTATATAAATAACATATTGATGTTGATTGATAAATAAATATTGATTAGTATGCCAGCTGCTGGGATTTATAGTTTAATCAGTTAAAATACACCTTGAACATATTTGAATAAAATATTCAAATCCCTCCATAGTTGAATTAAATTATATATGTACTAAAATTTGGTTAATATAAAACTTTGTTATTCACGAGCTAAGCAAAGTTACATAATAGAAGAAAATGTAATATTCTATCATTCAAAGAAAATGAATCCCATATTGACTGGAAGGTTAAAAGGGTCACCCATTTGGCAGCTACTTATCTCCATCTACACCATTAGAATCTGAGTGAAGAGTCCTCTAGTCCTTGTCTTCTCATGATGATCTAACGTCTCATCAACAGGAATTAGCAATACACAAACAGGGAAATAGGATGAGTGGAATTGTTGAATTTGAATCTTAATCAACAAAAACTGAGATCCCATAACTTGATCTTGCAATCTCGAGCAGAAGATTAGCAGTTGCACTTCTGAAAGAATGCCTACCAATTTCATACCAAATCATGAAATGTTGAAAACACAATTTTACTGTTTTTGCCATGTCTGATAAGGATGCTTTCCCCAACGCTTCAATGCATACATGCTGCCAGCCGAAGTGAACAGACCAAGGGCAGCAAATGCTAGTATAACTGAATTTTCTATACGCCGGTAATAGCCACCCTACGGAAATAAGACACAAACATCATCTATGTAATTTCTCATCTAAAGAAAGAGATAGGAAATGGAGGGTTTTATAACTCGAGTCTTGTGCGTCCAAAAATATTAAACTTAATAACATGTCATCTGAATTCCCGTATTAAATTGTTCTTATCGTCAGGCTTAACATATCATATATGAAGTGTTCATAATGATAGCATCAGTCTTGGATGAAAGGACAGGTAATTTTCAGATCGATAAAATAGACCCTTCCTCATCTTAAAGTTTCAAATGTGCTTTGAATTTCTTCACTAACATTGGGTTGGAGTAAGAATGAAAAATGATACCCTTACCAACGTTCTCCATGGGGCTCCCAATTTTTCACAAGGCCCCTTCATGGTAAACAAATTAGATATAGACAGGAAAATTCTTAGCAGGTTTTGTTACCATTTGCATGTACGAATTTTTAACCTATGGCCCGTAACTACTTGCAAAACATGCCTAATTCTTTGCTTGTACAATTCAAATTGCTAGAGAGATAAGTTAAGGTATTCTTGAATTATACTAGATGCATTCTTTTCATCTAATGCGTGCTCCACCAATCAGAAGAGTTCAATTGAAGGTAGAGTTTACATACCTGCAACAGAAAAAACAAAATTGCCGCATTTGCAGGAGCCAGAGATAAGCTAATCATCCCTCCACGCAACTTATTTGGCACATACCTATAAGAAAAATAGGAGGATAAAAAAGACATTGTGCAATCAGTTGCAAACATAATTACGTTTCTGCAGATGCTATCACAATAGCAAGTCAACACTTACATGGTCCTTAATCTTGCAAGTAAAGGTACAATTAAACCAACACAGGCATGAAACATGGAAAATAGCATCACTAGAACTCCAAGATCCTGCATAAATAGTAGAATATCAAGCTCCTTACTCGTCCAAATTTCTCAAAAAGCTAAGAAATGAGTCACATATGTAACATACCTGATAATCAAAAGCAACAATTGATATCACGAGCCCTGATATTACAAAGCAATATAGTAAACAATCTTCAGTCCGAAGGGATGATGTTCCACCCATGAGCCATGGAAACAATGAGCTTCCAAGGATTCTTGACCCCAGCAAACATGGGTATATCAACCCAAGATGCACTTCCCGCCCATCAGCCTAGATCAGAAATAATAAAATAACTAAAAAAATCTGATTTAGAATGCCTGTTAACTAAATCCAACAGCATCACTATTTTCAAATTGATACTCTTAAAAGATTACTAGTACAGTGGTTTAACTTGTTCAGTGGCATATAATTTCAAATATTATAAATCCTCTAACAAATTAACTTTGATACTTCAATGTACTTTAGATATGTACCACTAATGTTGGAGCCCAAAGAATCCAAAAGAATGCAACAGAGAAGTGAATAGAAGCTTGGGCCCATGCCAATAACCATATCCTTTTATCTGCAAATTATGAAAGTTTATGAATTTTGAGAACATCTACTAATTTATCGTATTTCACAAATTATTTGATGGGAAGTATAATCTTGATAAAAATCCTAGTTCATAACAACTAAAGTTTATTGAACAGTGAAACCATCTAATCAGCTGATGTGCAAAAAGAAAAAATTAAGGTAAAGTACACATTTGATCCCTAAACTTGAGAATAAGTTTCTAGTTGGTACATAAATCTCATTGATAGTTTAGTCCCTGACCTTTAAAAATTGTTTCTAATAGGTTCTTAGACCGTCAGTTAAACGAAAAAAATGCTTTGGTTATTCCCTCCCTTCTTTTCTCCTTTTCAGCGAGCCCACTATTTTGCCAAGTTCACAAAGACAACTACTAAAAAAATTCATCTCCTCACAAAAACTAACAAAGAAATACATCTTCTCTCCTCTCTCTTTTTCCGTAACCAGAATGTCCTCCTCTGCCATGAAACAAAGTACTCTGATTTTTGTGCTCAGAGATTATGGCACATTATAGGCATTAAAATAGCTAAATCTAAGAATTCAATTGAAATTGTAAGCTCCCACCTTAAAAAATGTCATAATACGATTAATTGATGTCAATGGAGAAAAAACCAACAAACAAATGCCAAAGCAAGTAAAAAAAAGGCAACGAATTCAATCAAATTTTTATCATCTCTCTAAAACCTCAATTGAAAAAATAAAACCAAAACTTGAAGCATCAACCAACAAATCGGAAAAGAAAACCAGAAAACGCAAGAATAATGAAACAGAAGTTTATATAGATCTGAACACCACAGAGATCTAAAAAACCCAACCAAGTCCTTCCAGATTATTCCTCTTAAAAATGGAACAAAAAGGAGAAGATGAAGAGAAGAAAAAAAAAACTCTGCCTAGTGATTTACAAAAAAAATCTTCATGTATTGTACAGAAAAGGTTGAATTTGATTGGTTCTTTTTATAGTTTTCTAAGAACTAGAATGGAATGATATAAAATGGGGGGTTTGGTATAATATTTTCTTTTTGGATTTGAATTTTTAGATAAATTTCTTCGTGAATTTTCTTCATGAAGTAACCAAAATGGTATAGGAAGAAGGGTAGGGAAAAAGAGAGAGAGAGAGAGAGAAGCCACATAAGCAAAATTAAAATCTAGTCAGCAAGTTCAGACGTGCCAAATCATATTTTCGTCAGTCAACTAACAGTCCAAGGACCTTTTAGAACCATTTCCTATAGGTCACGGACTAAACTATAAATTTTTTATAAACATAGGGATAAAAAAGAAACCTATCCTCAAACTCAAGGACCAAAAGAGTATTTTACACTAGAATCTACCTTGGTGAAGACATTAAGCACTTGGTGAGCATTTTTACTCTTGAATACACTGTTCCATAGGTTTCTCATTAGTGGAGTGCAGAAGAAACCAAGAAAAACAAAAATAATGGCTGCATTCCATTCTGAAAAAAGTTAAAAATGATATTCAAAAACCAATATATTTTCATTACACATTGCAAATAACTAGAAAAGACCCAACTTTGTACAAGGATTTGTCCAAAAAATCCCTGAAAACGATATGAAAGTATTTGATAGTTTCTGGTAGGTTGGGGTTCGGCAAAATTAGTATATATTCAAATACATCAGAGACGTTAATGCGTCAACAGAGCAAAACTGTTAATTAAATTAACAATAGAAGGCATAAATATACTTGGCTGAAATTTCTACCCAGTCAAACAAAACCTAAACCAAGATGTAAGTAAATATAAGGAACATATGGTGCTTACCACTAAAAATATATGCACTGAAAGAAGTTCTATAGTCCTCCAGTTCTATTCTTTGTGATGCTTCTGTCCACCCTTTGGTGACAAAAGTTAAACATATCAATGCCAAGAACACAGCAACGGTGGAAGGAGAAAACATATTTCTCTTAACATTATCACCAACCAGACTATTCACAAGCATCTGGTTTCCAATCAAAGAGACGGACTCAAATACGGTCATTAGCCAGAATGTGTCACTTAACATATCTTGCCTTTGACCTTGCTGCAAGGGGAGAAAAATATACAAGGGAATGACTTTACATTAGTGCTTTCTTTCAAACAAGAGACTCATGAGGTACTGCAGGAGCTCGAATAGAAATCAACATGGCCAACCATTCAACCAAATATAAACAAAACAAGTTGGAGCATAAGTTGAGATCGATAAAACAGATGAATAAATATCTAATTAAACATACTAGGTTACATCAACTTAAATATAAATAAATAAATAAATAAGCTGGTTGGTTTGATTTCAAGAACCTTAAACTTGAAGTAAAAAATATTACAATCAGAGTCCATTGATTTCATATTTAAGGGTCCTCAACTCCTTTAAACAAGTATGACATGAATGTAAATTTATGTGGCCTACTATGATGACTACCTAAATAAATCCAAGTGCAAAGCTACGTTAACAAACCTTCTCATGATGATGTACCATCCATGTTTCGAAGCTGAATGAAAATATTGAAGTAGCAAGAGATAAACCAATACTGGTGATAAAGAGACTTTGGTGCACAGAAATCCTCTTCCATACGGCAGTAACAAGGTGTATTATGCAAAACGTCATACATACTTTCTTTTGACCTCTACAATAATAATAAAATCATTTCTTAGAAGAACAACATCATTTACTTCATTGTATTTATAACAAAATCTTAGTAATGAAATCTGAAT